GAGCCAGACTGCGAGCTTTCACCTGCTGGGCCCTGCTAACAAGGTTTCCAATCAAGAGATGCCAATGCAAGTTGGAAATGGGAATTTGGGAATTAGCTAGCAAGGTGGCAAGGCAGTGGGCACTCATCTGTAGCTTCACCCACACCATCACCTCACAGAGCACCCCTCCTTCGTTCTTCACATCCCCACAGGAACAGCAGTGATACAATCAGGAGACGCTGCTTCTGTGTGACACATCACAGTGGGTCCAAACTGGAGATTTGCCTCTTGCAAGTACAAGAATGAGCCCACAGCACACATCACTGAGCCTCATTTCCTCTCCCACGGCAACACCTCACACATCACAGGCACCGAGTACCTTCTCTTCAGGAAGATGAATCAATAAGCCCATCCCACAAACCCTCTTAATTGACTCTTAGTCACACGCGCAGCAAAGCAGCGCTTCTGCTTCCTCACCTGCCCAGTTTCTGTCCTTCTCCAGTAAAAGCTTTGAAGACACTTTTAGGTTTCACATACTCCTCGTCACGGTGATCCTCCATATCCAGGTTCACCTGCCCGCCTCGCGCCAACCTGCGCAGCTCTGCGGGGACTTCCCTGCAAAGAGAGGGTCTGAAGGAATCTGCCTGAAGAAGCAGATCAGGAAAACACTGAAAACAGGATCTGGGGCAGCCAAAAAAACCTTTGGAATTTCATGCACTCCTGTTTAAGTAACAAGGCAGGCGTGCACCTCCCCACTAACAGGCACAAGCTCAAGGTTACTTTTCCCTGCCCTTCGCCCGGAACGAAACGATGCACTGGAAATCCTCAGCCTAAATACAAAAGTCTGTCTGTTCACTTTGAAACATCAAGACCCTATAAAAACCAAGGCAACTGCCCATGAGCCTAAAGTAAATCTTCAAGTGTGCCTTCCCAAACCTTTCACATGGAGAATTTAGCCCTCGGGTAAAACGTGTCATAGATTCATGACCCTGGATACCACAAAAACCCGTGTTTCAGAAAATAGCTTCTCTTTCACTCCCTTCTTGCTACATAACAACACACCAAAACAACAAGTTTTGTTGCTACATACCCTCGGCGGATATCATCAAGGAACTGGGCATTGGATGGATCCTGGTAGCTTCTCAGTTCTCCACTGTCCAGACTGAATCCACTCTTCCAGAGCTTCAGTACAACGTGCACCTGCAGCAGAGCCCAGACAACCATCAGTCTCACTGGAACACCTCAGTAAGGGCAACCAGAAGCAAAATGAAAAGCTGCTGACTGGCAGAGGAGTTTCAAGCAGCAGAAAACATCCCAGCTATGTGCCACTGGGTTGATACAGTCAGTGGTGAGGAAAAAAAAAACCACTGGCTATGTAATGGTCATTCATCAGCTCCTAGATGACAACACAGACCCTTTTCTGATAAAAGCTGTTGAAAAGCCAAGTGTTTGACAGGGGCCTAAACTAAGCTCCCATCAAGGCCTCGATAGATATCTGCTCACAAAGCAGAAGGGGTCTTTGCACTGATGCTGTTGGTTCTGCATCTCTTCAACAGTTAAAGCCTTATCACCTGGTGCTCTTTGCACTCTGTTTTTTACCATCAGTATATTCACACTCAGAGGCTGAGAAAAGATCCCCGTGCTTCTAAAGAACACTCAGGTAATTAACAAACATTGGAAAAACTACTGCATAAGACCCGAGCACGTGCATTTCTTTTTTCCTCCTACCAGAAATCCCACAGGAAGCAGAATTTGTCATATTTCCATCCTCCTGAATTTGTATCAAGCTTTGCAATTCTCTGACTCACAAGCTTTCACTTGTAGCAGAGCAATCCCCCAGGTGACCACTGCAAAACAACAGAAAGACACTCACATCCTGAACAGAGTTCTGTCTCCTCTCTCCTGCCACGTAGGCAGACTCTTCCTCTGGAGTAGCTCCAAGGCGATATCCTCCCCCTGCAAAAGGCTGCAGAAGAGGCAGGCAAAGAGGTTACAGGATGACACGTAGCCAGGACACCATGATTCCCTCTCCCCAGCATCATTCCGAGGGAAAGCAGAGGACTTCAAAAGTATCAGCAACATTTGCTGGCCCTCAGGCTCAATGACCAGCTTGGACTAGTTAATAAATACGGCACAAAGCAGCTTTTCTTACCACCATGACATGGAAATAAGAGCTGCAATAACACAGGAGTCCAGACACAGATGTTCCTTTAAGTTAGTTTTAGTACTCCACAGGACCAACCAGCTGTCACAGTGGGAGCCACATACAGACAGCTCCAACAGAGAAAGAGAGAAAAGAAGGAAGAACTCATCACTCCTCACTTTAGGCTTGCTACTCTCGCCGCTGCTTTTGGCTGTCCGATCAACTGCCACTGCACCGTGCTCCTTCGCTCCCTTGAACAGATCCTCCACCAGCTCATTGGGACTCTTCTTCCTTGGAGGACCAACAATCTGTTGTCCACTTCTCTCTGAGCCACCGGCATAAAACCTAGAAAGAAAACACACCCTGTCTGTGCAGGAGCAGAGCACAGTTCCTACAGGACACGTGTGACAGGATCCAGCACATTTACACCGGGATTCAGCAACAAGCTGCTGCTTACTAAGGAAATAACTGGCACTTGGAGGGAAGGCAAACATTAATTCTGCACTGAAAGATCACCACTCGCAACAGGACTAAGTGGGAAGCAATGAATGCACTGTCAATGAAGTGCAAATAAGCACTTGTGGAAGACTGGGGTTATTAGCTTCCAGCTGGCTTGTAACGCATCCAGAGCAAGCTCAAAGCTGACTGCAGAGGACCAGGTGGCCTACCTGCACTGAGCACCCTGAAGTCCCATCAGTTCCACTCAATTTACCTTGCTTGTGAACCTAAAGAGTATTTAACTGCTTACAGTTCACCCAAGATCCTTCAGTACAGGAACTGCACATCTACTTAAACCTGCTTTACAAACATACGTATTCCTGTACCCGGGCAGCAAGCTGCCACAGAACAGCAGGGATAAAACACACAGGTTTCAAGGCTAACTGAGAACTCACCGCTGTCCCTCTTCTTCCTCATCATCATCCTCCTGTGCATGAACAAGGTCTCTAAACGACGTTACTCGGTGGTCACTGCAAAAGTTGATCACAGTACATCAGCCTCATGATACACTTCAACCACATGAGCAGAAGTTCCTAAGCACAGCACGTTAGGTTGACTCTGTTCTACTTTTAGGCTCTGACTCATTGCTCTACAAAATCACAGGTCAGCAGTGGTGTAACTGAGCAGTGAATAATGTTCTTGAACCTCTGTGCTGATCACATCAACACAAAACAACCGACTGCAGGTCCAGCAGCAGAATTAACTCTTCAGCCATCTTCCTGCTCACATACTGAATTTCATTGCCATTCCCAAGTACAATTTCTCTTCCAGACCCCAGTAAAGTCAAGCCTCCAAGACCACTCTTGTTTACCTGTGATTCAAACTGAAATCCAATCCTTCCGCAATATGAAATTTATTTCAGAGCCTGAAATGAGAGCACTCTGCCTTCGCAGTACAGTCAGTAACTCCTCTTTAAGACTGGATAACATTTACTGCACAGGGACTTGGGATGGCCCAATTAACTTTCCTTGTAAAATGCTTAACAGACAAGGTGCAACAGAAAATCAGAAAATGCTTATCCTATATAGGTACAGCCTGCTTGAACAAAAGTGTCACTGACCGTGTGACTGCCTCTAACCTCAGAACACAAATCTAGTTTTTTCCTGAGCAATGAAGCAAGTCATTCAACTGATCTTTGGATCAGTTGTGCAATAAGGCCATGCTCGTGATATGGAAGTGTTGTTGTTGATTTCACAGCTTCTAGAGAGCCGTATGAGGTGAAGCAGTTCTAAAATCATGACTATTATTCTGAATACAAGCAAATGCTGATGCTTTAAATACAGCACAGGGTTGTTTTTTTTAATGTAATTTGTTTTCACCGTGAGCCTTAAAGTCCTTGCTAAACAAACCAGGCCCAACTGAAGCTCTCTCCTCACCTGGCTGCAGTGCCTCTGGATACAGAGCTGGGTGTTGGCTGGGGGAGGGTCAGGATGTCCTCATCACCCCCATCCTCATAGAAACTGGCAAGGGCGATCTGAAATGGAAAACCCAGGAGTGTTTCAGGATGAGATCAAAGATTCCACAGCAGCAGATCAAACACACACACACTAATAACATAACTGAAGGTTCTGTCACGCTGGAATTCTTCAGACACACCGACTGCAGCCATTTTACGGGCTTTTCCCCTTTGGATGTCCTAGCAAAGACAGGTCGCTGCCAGCCGTGCTGTCTGGATTTGCTATGTGAGGTCATCACGACTGCACGCGTTCCTCCCCGACCCGAGGCTCCCATTTCTGAGGGGTTACGCTGCAGGAACAGGCCCCAAAGCACCGGGGCTCAACAAAACCCTCGCCTTCTATTAATGAAGTTGACTTAACGAGATAAGCGGATCCAAATCGAGCTCCGGACCCGCGAAAACGGCAGACCCGGCCCTGACGAGACGCTGAGGGCCGAGGGGGCGGCGGGCCGAGGGCCGAGACCGCAGGAGGCCGGGCCGAGCCGAGCCGAGCCGAGCCGAGCCGAGCCCTGCACCGCCCCGCACCGCCCGGCCGCACCGCGGCCCCGCCCACAGCCGGCTCGGAACGGCGCTACCTGGAGATCCCAACCGGCGGACTCGAGGAAGAACCGCGCTCGCTCCTCCTCAGCTCCCGTCACGGCAACGAATTCCCTCAGCGCCTCCTCCCGGTCCGCCATCTTGCCGCGGTGCAGCGCGCAAATCGCTCCGGGTCCCACAGCCCCGCCCCGCCGCGGTGCGCACCGGAAATCGCTCCGGGTGGGAAACGCGGCCCCGCCCGCTCCGCTCCGCCCAACGGCGCCCCCCTGCGGCCCGGCGGGATGCGGCCATGCGTTGCGCCGCGCCTCCCGGAGGGCCAACCCTGCCCCGACGTAGGAAAGCAGCGCGAGGATGAGCTCGGCAAAACGTTGTATTGATTTTGGCACGAGTTTGTGTGGAGTCAATGATTTTATCTTTAAAATTCGTGCAGCGAAGCAGCGGGAAGCACGAGGGCGCAGGCCGGGCCCATCCCGAGAGCTGCGGGCGGAGCTGCGGGGCTCGGAGGCGATCGCGGAGCCGCTGCTGTCCAGGGCAGCATCAGGGCAGGAAGCGCTTGAAGAGGAAGAAGAGGACGAGGGCGAGGAGCGCCTTGCCCAGCAGCAGGCCGAGCCATAAACCGGGGCTGGACAGGAGAATGGCACCTGTGTGGGTACAGACACGAGTGTGGGGCTTGGGGCACGCAGCCCGCAGAACAACGAGCTCCGCCCAGCTCGCGCTGCAGCTCTCGTGCACCGCTATCTTCAGTGGAGCTACCTCCGGGTCCACACTGGGCTGCGACAGCCACCTGCATGGTGCCCGTGCTGGAGACGGGCTCCTGGTCCTCGTGCACCACCCGGCAGGTGAAGCTGGAGCCGCGCTTCTCCTCCACCGCCTGCACCGTCACCGTGCTGTTCAGCTCAAACAAGCCCTGGGGGGTCTCTGCTGGCTGCGTGGTGCTCCCCGCGTTCAGCCCCGTCCCGTTCTCCAGCCAGGTGATGCTCACAGCTCCCGGGTAGAAGCCCTGCACGCGGCAGCTGAAGGTCACCGTCTTGTTCACCTCCACGGCGCCCGGCGGCGCAGCGACCACAGACACGCTGGGGGGAACTGGGAAGAGAAGCAGCGCCTGGAGCCGGCGTCCCTGAGCCCACGGCTCAGCCCTGCCCCAGCCCCGGGGCTGTGAGCCTCACCTCGCAGGGCCTGGCCCAGCGCGTACGTCCTCCTCAGTGGGGCTGCCAACGTGCTGTGCTGCACCTGGCAGGTGAGCTGTGAGCGCACGTCGTCCTTGGTCAACTTCACCTGTGCGGTGCTGGACATGTTGTAGGAGGAATGTGACAGCTCTGAGGTGATGTGGGGCAGCACAGCCTGAACTGGAACGTTGTTCTTGAGCCATTGCACCTGGATGTCACGGGGAAAGAACCCTCTGGCACTGCAGGTGAAGGACACCGACTGCCCTGGCTCCGCTCGGCGACTCGGCCCTGACACGGCCAGCTCGGAGGGTCTGGCTGTGGGAGAAGCAATGGCCCATCAGGGAGCGTCCTGCCCATCCCAACCCCAGAGGAAAGCCCACCAGGATAGGCTGGGAATCCACTCACCGTGCACCAACACCTCCGTGCCCCCACCATTCTTAAACAGCTCATCTCCCAAGATGACTTTTCTAAACTTCGCACAGTAATAGGTGCCGGCATCCTCAAGACGAACATCCCTGATGTGGATGGTGAAGTCTGTGTCGGATCCATTGATTGCTCTCATCACACGTGAGGAGGAGCCTTTCTGATCATAAATGGTCTGATTGCTGCTGCCCCAGCCCTTCAGCCACTTCACAATGCCAATAGGATGCAATGCAGACACTGTGCAGTTCAGGGTCAGTATCTCCCCTTTGATCACCACCACCTGGCCCTGGGGCTGCTGCAGCTTGAAGTCCGAATCCTTCTGGGCACCCACACCTGGGGACAGTGACAAGAGAGTCTGGGGCTGGCAAGAGGCCCTGAGCCAGGGTGCAGCACAGGGCCTTGCTAGATCCCAGAGCAGGAGGCAGAGAGATGTCCCCATCCCTTACCACCCATGGCAGCTGGCACTGTGAAACTGTGGGACAACGACAACAGGTAGTTGGACATGGTCACATAAAGCAAAGTGCTTGGCTGGGGATAAAAGCAAGCTGAAATGTGGGAGAGAATAACCCCAAATATCTTTGGGCTCGAAGAAGGGTTGCCCTGCCAGCAGCAATGGGGAGTGCATCCTGGGAAAGGCTGCGGCTGTGCAGGACCACACACTCACCTGGGACATTCTGGAGCAGGAGCAGCACCAGGCAGGTTAGAGGCATCGCCTGCAGTGCCCGAATCATGCTGATTGCCATGTTCTACTACCTGCTGCTGTGGCTCAATGTGGCTCAGAGTGGTGTGGCCCCAGGTTCTCTTCCTGCTGAAACGGGAAGGAAGGGGTTTGGGTTTTTCCACTGACCAAGCTCCTCTCTGCAGCCCCGTGCAATCCCAGAGGGTGCCGATGGTGTTTGTGGCACCTTGTTTTGATGGGTGTTCCTTGTCATCAATGCTGGTCCCACTCCACCCTTGAATGAGTGACACTGCCACAGCCACCAACACGGGGCAGCCAGAGAGACTGGCTCCAAACCGATGGGCACCTCAAGCAAGGCAGGCTGCTGTGCCACTTGTGCAGGGCTTCCGCATAGCCCCCCTACTGCTGAGGCTGTCTTGCTGAGACCAAGGTCAGAGCTGCTCTCCTGCCCTGCGCCCATCACAGCCCCTCCAGCCCTAAGCTCTGTGCAGGGGTTGGGGCAAACTCAGGGTGCACCAGTCCAGGATGCACTTTGAGGTTTAAGCCCCGCTGAGCTCCCTGCTGGCTCAGTGTCCTACTGGCTGCCCCGTGCAGGCACCAAAAGTGTTAACAGCACGCGCCCGCTCGCCTCCATTTCCTGTGCAGCTTCTCATTTTCCTTCTGGAGTCAGAGCCCAAACTTTTGGCAGCGCCAATGGCTGAGCTCCGTGCTGTGCTGCTGCTTCGGCTCTCGGTCGGGCAGCTCAGCCTCTTCCTGGCGTGGCTGTGGGGTGAGTACAGGGCAGTGCAGCAGCAGAAGCTGTGGTCAGCTCTCTCTGTACCTGTTCCTGCTGGCTGGCACAGCCACTGAGTGCTGCTGGCTGGGAGGGGTTGACACGGCCGCAACTGGGAGTCTGCTGTCTGCATGCCTGCAAAAACAAAACTTGGATGGGGGCTTTTCTCTTCTGACGTTCTGGGCTTGCGTGGGGTTGTTTGGGGTGAGGGACTGCAGGGTGTGCGGACAACCCACCTCCCTCCTCAGAGCTCCTTGGCCATTTCCCTCAGCACTGGGACGTGGCTCTTGGCCTCAGGTGTGTGCCCAGGGTGAGGGAGGTGCGGGGTCTGGTGCGCTGCGCTTTGTTGCCCTGAGGAAGACACATCAAAAGGCTTTGGGCAGGAGGGGCTGGGGGCAGGAGTTGGGATCCTGTTGAAGACATTTAGCATCCATGCTGGAGGGAGAGGAGGGCTTTTTCCTGCCTGGCTTCCCCCCCCCCCCACCCGGCAGCTCTAGTGCCAGGTATAAGGAACACAACAGGAGTCAAAATCTCTCCCCATGCCCATTTTGAAGCTGGCTTCCACCACTCCTATTGAGTGCCATTTTCTCACCCAGCTCTATTTCTCAACTGAGGCACTGAACAAGCAGTGGGTGCTCTGCCTGTGCTGGGCAGGAGGAACAAAGCAAGCCATCCTCTCCTTGCTGAGCTCTGACCTTGCTGCGCTGTTGCTTTCCCCACATGCAGGTGCCCAGGCAGGATGGGGCTTCAAGCTGCACCAGCCCGAGAACAAGGTGTGGGTGGCCGTGGGGCAGACGCTGACCCTGACCTGCACAGTGACTGGATCGGGTCCCCTCGGCCCTGTGAAGTGGCTGAAGGGCTGGGGCAGCAGCAATCAGACAGTGTATGATCAGAAAGGCTCCTCACACCGCGTGACGAGGGCAGTGAATGAGTCCAACACAGATTTCACCATCCACATTGAGGACATCCACCCCGAGGACGCCGGCACTTATTACTGTGTGAAGTTTCACAAACAGTTCTTGGGTGACGAGTTGTTCGATCACGGTCGGGGCACGAAGGTGTCAGTGTATGGTGAGTGGGCTTCCATCCCGGCGTGACCCCATCGTGGCTGTCCTGGCTCAGCCCCAGCCCTGCCCACAGCCAGGCCCACGCTGCACTGTGCCCCACCACCTTCTCCCTGCTTTACTTTGTGTCCCCACAGAGACCTCTCCGTTCCCCAGCATGGCGGTTGCAGCTGCTGTGCTCTGCTTCGTCCTCCTCGTCTTCGTCCTCGCCTTCTGCTTGTACCGCAGGAAGCAGAGGGAAGGGGAGCAGAGCCAGCATGTGGCTGAGGTGGCCACAGGAAGCTGCTTGCCCTTCCCTCTCCCATGCTGTGCAGGGAACCCTGGCACCCCCAGGTTGGTATTCCTGCTTTTTCTCTCTGCACCGTGAGGTGAGCAGGCTGCCTCACTTAGCTGCAATTTAGGGCAAACACTGTATTGTTTTGCTGGGCCTGGGTGGTGTTTGCCGCGGGTGTGGTGAGGAGCTCAGCTGCCTTGTCCTTGCTCTAACAACTGTTCTTTCCTCCAGCAGTGAAGTTGAGGATGCAGAGAACCCAAAGCTGCCCCACCAGGTACGAGCAGGGTGTGGATATGGGGCAGAGTGATGCCCTGATGCAGGACCTTTGCCCAAAAGCTCCAATAATGCAGCTGGTGGTGGGTGGTGGGTGAGCATCCAGCTGTCCATGCACTCTGTGTGGAAGCTGCCATGCAGAGGTGATTATAGCAAGGTTTTCTACATTCTTACAGCAAAGCAGTGAGGTGGACAAGGACATCCATTATGCTGACCTGCAGCCGCTGCCTGCAGCACGGCGGCCCAGCAGGAGCCCTGGTGCTGAACGCTCTGAGTATGCCAGCATCAGGGGAGCTGCTAAGTGAGCTGGCCCTGCCACAGCACTGAGGCAGGAAGCAGAGACTTTCTGCAGGCACCAGAAAGAAGAAGTGGAGCTGCTTGGAGCTGGCCAAGCTTGGCACGAGGATCTCAAATCTCTCCTTCCTGTCTTGGTTGGCCATGCCAGGCAGGGGCAGGCTCAGCTCAGGCTCAGCAGAGCCTCTCCAGGAATCAGCAGCCCCACGGAGTGCAGGATCAGGACAGTGAGCTGAGCACCTTTGCCTTGTGCAAGCTGTGCAGTGCTGTTGGCTCCAGGAGGACCTCATGAATGTCTCCACCAGCACAGGCCACCAGAGCTTTCCCAGCTCAACAGATCCACGATTCGTATCATCCCATCACCACACCAAGCTCATCCCCATTAAAGCCAGCAAACAGCCAAGCCACCTGGTCCTGCTGTGCTCAGAGCCAGAATGATGCTGCAGTGGCAGCAGGGGCCTGGAGATGTGTGGTCACCACAACTTCATGCCCAGTGTGCTGCTGCCAACTCCGTGCTGAGCCCCCCAGCAGCTCCCACCAAGCAGGGCTGGATGGTTGGTGAGAGGCAGGCTGGGCTCCCTGGTCCTGCAGCCCTGGTGCCTGCCACGTTCATCTCCAGCCCACTCCTTCCTTCCCTCTGTCCTCTGTAACCCACATCCTGTGGCCACACGCCGGGAGGAGGACGGAGCGAGGTGGAGGCAGGGAGCTGTGTCATAGGCTCTTTTCCTGCAGAGAAATCATTGCAGCTGCCTCTGACCTTGAAAGCTGTATGCACTTATCAGCTTTCAACTATTTTATCTGCTTTTCTGTGAAATAAAAAAAGAGAAGTGAAAGAGGACAGCGTAAGATATCTGCATGTGTGCACGCAGGGGAGCTGTATGGGGACACAGAGATTGTATCGAGGGGCAAATTGTCACAAGGGGAGGGAAGGCACTTGTGAAATTCATTTGCATGGCTGAAGCAGCATCCCCTGCATCAGGGGACAGGTCGTGGGGATGGTTTCGGGGTTATTCTCCCTGGGGAGCAGCTCAGAGGCATGTGCACGGTGCTGGGTGTTTGTAAGGAGCCCAGAGCCTGACCTCCTCTACACAATGTCGGAGGGCACACAGGGGCTGTGGCACCGGGAGCTGGGATGGAGCTCTGGAGCTGGGAGCAGTGCAGCTGAGCAGAGCTGATGGCGAAGCAGGGGCTGCCATAACCGGGGCAAAGGGTGCCCAGCCCCGTGCCTGGGGGGACTGAAACCAGGGAGAGTCCTCGCAGACAAGGGGAAACGAGATTCGAGGGCATTCAGCGCTTTTGAAGCTCTGGGCTGGGCCAGGAGGGGGGAAATCCAGTTTGATGCAAGCATATGCAAAGCAGCAAGGGGCAAATGCACGGTGGAGCGCTGTGCACCTAGGAAAGGCCCAGGTCTGCAGCTTACGGCCCAGGAGAGGGATTTGGTGGTTATTAAAGGAAAATCCTTTAAGCCATCAGCCCGGGGTGTGCCGGCAGTGAAAGCACAAACAAGCATCCGAGCGTGGACACAAGGTAGGAGCGCACCGGGCAGCGCCACGGGGTGCAATGGGGGTCCGTGCACTGAGAACGGGGGTGGTGGTGGGATCCAAGCTGTGCCCTCAAGGATCAGCGTTGCACCGCTGGCCCCGAGAGCTGGGAAACGGTTCTGAGGCTGCAGGGGCTGTGCCAGGAGCTGGCGTGGGAGGAGTGGCTGTGGGGAAAGCAGCGGGGAGCACGAGGCTCCAGCAGAACGCGGGTGGTGACAGTGAGAGATTAGTCCAGGGGGAGAGAGTGATGGACGAGGCAGGTCCAGCAGTGAGGGGAGGGGGAGGAATGGTTGAAAAGCAGTGAGGAAGAGTGTGGTCTCGGCTAGCAAACGAGGATGGCTGGATAGGGGCATGGCTGAGTCACTCCCGCTTTGGCTCCATGGTGTCCACACCGGGTGCCAGGGCAAGGAGAGGCTCTGCTCATCCCTGGGGGGCAGGGGGCTGGCAGTGCTTGCAAGGAAGAAGGACAAAGCTGAGCCTGTGCTGGAGCCAGGGCTGAGCAGGGGGGAAGGGAAGAGGACAGGGATAAATGTGTGAAAAGCAGAGTCCAGCGCTGGCTGTGCCTCCTGCAGGAATGGGCTGTGCCTTGGGGCTGCCTCTGTCCGAGATGCTCCTGCTCTGACCCCATCCCTGTCCTTGCCACCAAGAGACTGCGATGGCCACAAAACCCACAGGAAAATGGCCATGGGACAAAGAACATCCAAAGCCACAGGGACCCCACGATGCCATTGGGTCCTGATGGTGCCCCACTATGCTGTGGGGACCAGGTGACGCCATGGGGATGCAGTAATGCTGTGGGGATCCTGCAATGCCATTTGGGTCCCCGATGCCTTGGGGACCAGGTGATGCCATGGGGATGCCATGCCATGACACCGAGGGGGAGCAGCCCTGGGAGCTCATGTGATGCC